CTACCAAGTTTCCAGGGGATGATGATGCAAATAGCAAAGGAATCACACTTGGAGACTCACTGGTCTAAGTCATCCCCAATCGTCCTTTACTAGATACCTGCTTTTCTCACCTTGCAGGTGAGAATAGTCATGTGATCCCAGTCTAGTCAATGAAATAACAAACAAAATCTGCCAGGTAAATTCCAGGAAAGATTTCCTCTGGAAAAAGAGTCCCTGCCAACACAATATTGAAGGAGAAAGTTGGAGAAATGACATTACCTGACTACAACCTTACTTTTAAAAGTATGCTAATAGAGTGTAGCATTGGTAGAAAAATAAATAGATCAATAAGCAGAATAGGAAGCCCTGAAACAGATCCGTATAAGAGCAGTCGATTTATCTTTACAAAAGGACAAAGGCAATCAAGAGGTAGTCTTTTCAGAAAATGGTACTGAAAAACAGAACATACCCTTTTTTTTAATGATGTGGATACAGACCTTACACTTTCCCCCAAAGACAGCTCAAAATGGATCACAGACAAAAACGTAAAATACACAACTATGAAACCAGAAAACCCAGTAGAGAGTCTAGATGACATTGAGATTGGCAATGACCTTTTGGCTAACTACCCAAAGGTATGATGCATGAATTAAATAATAAGTCTGACTCTATCAAAATTAAATTTTTATGCACTGCAAAAAATACTTAACAAAATAAAAAGCTACATTTTCTGGTCAGCTCATCAGCAATAAAGTTGACATTTTGATATCTGTCTGATACCTCAATTCATTCTGAACTCCATAGGAGAAGAAAGCATTCTTACTTATTCATTCTTTTTTTTAAGCCAATAGTCAGGCATTTTATAATTCTTTTTTATTTTTTAATTTTTTTTAATTGTAAAAATACCGTATAGAGGGGTTACAATTACATGGGCAAGATAATGAGTACATTTCTTATCAAGCATTGTTGCCTCCTCCTTTGTTTCTCCTACCCATCCCTTCCCATCCCTTCCCAACCCCTCTTACCCCCCCATCCTACCCTACCCCCCCCACCAAAGTTGTAAAGTTTGTTTTTTGACATAATGACTTGTACATCTCATTGTTGCAATGGAGTCCACCTGTTTATAATTCTGTAGCCACAAAAATCATGGCTAAGGAATATGGTGCCTTTCAGAAATTCAAAATGAGGCTCAAACCTCATGTTTCTGGCCAAAGCCAGAAATATTCGAACATAGACACCTACAGGATTACTTCATGGGTTTTTTGGGGGTTTTGTTTGTTTGTTTGTTTTGTTTTGGTTGGTCATGGGGCATGAAATCTCGGCCTGGGCATTGTCCCTGAGCTCTTCAGTTCAAGACAAGCACTCTACCACTTGAGCCACAGCACCACTTCCGGTTTTCTGGTGGTTCATTGGAGATAAGAGTCTTAGGGGCTTTCCTGCCTGAGCTGGCTTTGAACACAATCCTCAGATCTCAGCCTCCTGAGTAACTAGGATTACAGGCAGGAGCCACCGACGCCCAGCTGTTTGCTTTTTACTCCAAAAAAAAAAAATTTAAATCCTCTTCCCAAGAGCCAGCTGAGAGAAAACATATTATATGAAGATGTTTAATCTAATCACTATGGAGATCTTTTTTTATACATAAACTTTCCCCTTGAGAGCCCCCAAGCTTTGTTGGTTTATATAATTTTCATCCCTCAAATCATCACCTAGGAATAGCTAGCCACTTAAATGTACTTTACATGAATGGATGAGAGAGCTTTAAAGGGATCCCCCCCCTTTGAAAACTTCACCCACAGCTAGCAAACAGCTGCAGGAGGGGTTGTGTGTATCTTTGCATATTCAGAAGGATACTCGTATTTCCTGGAACTCCATTTGTCCTGCCCATATTCAGCAAGTACGCCTTTTAGTCTATTATGTACTGCCAATTCAATGGTACATGTCTATCTCGCCTTTCTGAACAATTCCCTAGTCTTTCTTTTCTTTTCTTTTCTTGTTATTTTTCCTCTTGATATACCGGGGACTGAACCCAGTGACCTAGCAGCCACTCTAACACTTGAGCTATGGCCCCAGGCCAGCTCCCGGTCTTTGATGGCTCTACAAGGACCTACAGGGCCTTCATTATAAAAATGGAAAATGAGATTTTGTTTAAGGCTCTGCCCCACAGTCTATTGAAAGGCCCATGTACACAGCTGTAAGAAGGAGAATGGCACACTGGACCTGTCATCTAGAATGCTTAAAGGGGAGAGAATAAGTTCTAACTTGATACCAGATGCAGTAAAGTGATCGCAAGCTCTTCCCTCATTTAGCAGCCAGTACATTTTTGTTTTGTTTGATTGCCAAGAGGGATTTGAAAAGCATGCAGTCCAAAACCCTTTTCTTCTACAACTAAGAAAACAGAGCTAGAGAAACGACATAGAAAGTAGCATACCAGATCAGGCATTTCATCATGTGAGAGCTCATGTGCTTTCAAGTGTTTAATCCACCAGATTTCATTTTCCTCTAGCAGGGAAATGAATGGCCCTTTCTCACAGGGACATTCAGGCGATGTGGAGACACATCAGAGTCAGGGAGCCCTAAACATCTGAGAAGCTGAGGACTGCAGTTTCCATGGTGACCACACTGAGAAGCCAGGTGCAGGCTCCAATGAGGCCCCCTAGCTCCAATACCCAGAGAGCAAAGGTTGTGAGATATTCCAGAGAAATTTCCACGTGGAGCTACTCAGCTAAAACTGAGTGCGCAGCTAGCCTGCCAAGAAAGTTCTCCTCTCAGGACTAATGCACAACAGCTCTGAACTCTACGTGTGTGGCCCTGTGCCAATCTCTTTCCCATACCTTATTTCATTTAATTACCAAAATGTTATAAAATAGATCCACATTACATCCTCTTTGGTTAATGAGCAAATTAACACAGCTTACCCAGAATCAATGAGCTAGCAGATGTACCTAAACAAACTCTGAAACTGCTCACCTGGGAGACTCTCTAGCATTCTTCTAAAGAGAAGTATAAGCCAGGATCTGAGGGGCAGCCTTGAATATAGTTTGAAAGTTCTTATCTCAAAGAGAGAGCAAAAAAAAAAGACCACCCCTCATGTATCTTTGCCCATGGTTGCTAGGTTCTGAGAAAGTTCTCAAAATGTTATTTTATTTTTTTTTTGTCCGTTAGTGGGGCTTGAACTCTGGGGCTGGGCGCTGTCTCTCAGCCCTTCAGCTCAAGGCTAGCACTCTACCACTTGAGCCACAGCGCCACTTCGGCTTTTTTTTCTTTTTGCTTATGTGGTGCTAAGGAATCGAACCCAGGGCCTCAAGTATGCAAGGCAAGTGCTCTAGACCACTGAGCCACCTTCCCAGCCCATGTTATTTTTTTTAAACTAAGTCATCTGGGGAGAATGATGGAATAATTGATCAAGATAGCTTATATCATAGACTGACTTGTTGAAGTGAAACCATTTTATACAGACACAAGTCTTTTTTTAAAAAAAAAAAAGATGCATTGTGCTCATAAACTGACATGCTGAATTGAAATCCTTTGTGCAAATACTTCAAAATGAAAAAAACAAATAACATGATTGTGTCTACATTGGGGAAAAAAAGCATTAAGTCACGATCAAAAATAATTTTCTTTCTCATGCTGAAAAGTCTGGAACACTTGAGACTTAAGTCAAGACTGGCCAAAGAGCAGAGATAAACTTAGAACGAGACAAGAGTTCTATAGAATTAAGTGAGTGGATGTGAGTTCAAGGGCTTTAAAACCTCAGTCCATAACCACTGCCACCCACCCTCCTATCACCAATGCGAGGCGTATTATCATCTTTAGGAAAGCAATTCCTTGAATTGAGATTTGGGTCTCTTGTTTACATACTTCCCAGAGGAAAACACTAAGTCAGTAACAAACCTCAGCTACTCCCTTAGCCTGAGTCATATCAATGCGCTGGCTAGTCCTGAGGGATCCTTCAGCAGGAGGAGGCAGAATGGAGAGGAGCCACACCCAGAGCAGAGTTCAGAGAGGACCAGCTTTTGCAAGAAGCTAGGATCAGCCTGGAAGCATTGCAGCTATAAATGAAATGAAGGCAAGGAGTTCTGATAAGAACATGAGTGCATTTACATTGTTCTGTTTCCTTGCAAAACCACTATGGAAACCATTTTCCATCTTTAAGAAGCTGAGTGCTGTGATTTGAATGTGTCTCCTACAAAACTCAGCTGTTAAAACATCATGACCAGTGAGACAGTACTAAAAGGTGTGAGCCTTTACAATACAATTCCATCCTCAGGGCTCCTCATTCTTGAATGGGCTTTTATAAAGAGAGTTCACCCAGTGTTTAGTCCCTTTTCTCTTCCATCCCTTCTGCCCATGTGAGCACATAGCATTCTTTCCTTCCAAAAAGATGTCTGCTTAAAGAGGACAAACAGGACCCTCAGAAGACAATTCAGACCTTCATCTCTGACCCTCAGCAGCCAAACTTGGAGAAGTAAATTTCTGCTTTTCATAAATCACCCTATCTCGGGGCTGGGAAGGTGGTTCAGTGGTAGAGTGCTTACCTTGCATGCATGAGGCCCTGGGTTCGATTCCTCAGCACCACATAAGCAGAAGAAAACAAAAAGCCAGAAGTGACGCTGTGGCTCAAGTGGTAGAGCACTAGCCTTGAGCTGAAGAGCTGAGGGACAGAGCCCAGGCCCAGAGTTCAGGCCCCATGACCAGACCCAAAAAATAAATAATAAATAAAAAAAAATAAATCACCCTATCTCAGGGATTTTGTGCTAGCAGTGTAAACCGACTATGACACTGTGTGCATCTTAGTGTTAGTCCTTAGCCATCTTGTACTGTATTTCCACAAGTACCGTTATAAAGTAGGGAGCAATTCGAGAGAAGGGAATTTTGGCATTTAGTAACTCTGCCATTGGCCCAAACAGAAAACACAGTCAGAACATTAAACTATTTTATTTAAAAAGAAAACGTGGGGCCCTGATAATGCCTTCTGAACCCTGGATCACAGTAGTTAAGGGTGAAATAGATGCAGTACTCACTCGAAAGACTTTCTCCACTCTTGCAATGCTTTTCCCAAAGATGGTTCCAAGTTGGTCTCCAATTCCAGCCAATAAAAAACCAAAGAGTGGAATCCCAAAGATGGCATATAAAATACAAAAGATTTTGCCTCCTTCAGTGCTTGGAGCAATATTCCCATACCCTAGTGAGAAATCGTAGAAAGAAAGAGGGAAAGTGGTGAGAGGGAAGAGAAGGTGAAATACTAACCAAAGAATTCACAGATCTGTACATTCCCCATTTTGAGTATTTGGCAGTAGAACTTCATTGTCCCATTGCTTCTCTTCCAGCCTTCTTTGTAAATAGTTTCCTGGACCTTAATAGATCCTTTAAAAAATTCTGGCAGACATAAAAGAAATGCAAATCAAAACAACATTGAGATACCACCTCACCCCAGTTAGAATGGCTATAATCAAGAACTCTAATAACTACAGATACTAGAGGGGATGTGGTCAGAAGGGAACCTTACTGCATTGTTGGTGGGAGTGTAAACTTTGGAGGTTCCTTAAAAGACTCCACATAGAGCTCCCCTATGACCTAGCAATCCCACTTTTGGGCATTTACCCAAATGTTCACAAACAAGACCACACTAAAGCTACCAGCACAACTATGTTAATTGCAGCATTATTTACCATAGCTAAGATATGGAACCAACCCAGATGCCCCTCAGTAGATGAATGGGTCAAGAAAATGTGGTACATATACACAATGGAATTCTATGCCTCCATCAGAAAGAATGACATTGCCCCATTTGTTAGGAAATGGAAAGGCTTGGAAAAAATTATATTAAGTGAAGTAAGCCAGGCCCAAAGAAACATAGGTCCCATGGTTTCCCTTATTTGCAATAACTAGTAAATGTCTGAGTCAAGCAGAAAAGGTCAGATAAGTTGATGTTAGGGAAATGAACCCTAAGATATGCATTCAAATGTTTTTTTTTCTTTCATGTGATTGTTTCTAACACATTTATAAGATTATTTCTTTGTTGCTTTGTATGTCCCTCCCCCATGGTATAACCCCTGCTTTCACTGTATTTGATGTCGGTATAATTTGTGGAAGGGAAGTGAAAAAGGAAATCATTTAAATAGGGATACAGGTGGACCCATTGCAATAATGAGATGTACAAGTTAGTATGTCGAAAATGAACTTTACAACTTTGGGGGGGGGAGGAGGATTGAGTGGGAGGATGGGGTAGGATGGGAAGGGATGGGAAGGGGAAACAAAGGAGGAGGCTACCAGCACAACTATGTTAATTGCAGCATTATTTACCATAGCTAAGATATGGAACCAACCCAGATGCCCCTCAGTAGATGAATGGATCAAGAAAATGTGGTACATATACACAATGGAATTCTTGCCCGTGTAATTGTAACCCTTCTGTACAGTATTTTCACAATAAAAATAAAAACAATTCTGACAGAAATGATACTGTCCTTTTCAGAAATGCCAAGTGTCCTGGACATGATGGTTTATGAGAACCTGAACATCTGGAAGTAGAATTTTGCAATTGCAGGACTGAGGATTTATCTCAAGTAGAAGAGTGCTTATGAAGCTCTGGGATCCATCTCCAGTACCTCAGGAAAAAAATGCAATCATATAAGCAATGCATGTATAATGAATATTGGGTACACTCTATCAGATGGAACTAGAAGAAAAAGGGTGGGAGATGAGAGCCTCAATTAATATCCAATCCCATAACAATTAGCATTGTACCCTCATGTTAGCCAGTGTCTACCGTAGATATTGCCTAACCATTCTCCCAAATTTGGGTAGCTCTCGTGAGGCCTGTATGTGAATCTATGCAATGAGTGAGTTATCAGTCCATGTTTACACACACACTGAGAATGTGGCAGAGTAAGAAATGATGTGGATGACTTGCTCCATCATTTTTCCTCCTACAAGCCTGGAGAAGTCACCGTTGACTTCTGCCTTTGGGAATGAGTCACTTGGCTATTTTCTGTCTCAATGTTCTGTTTGGAACCATTCAAACCTCCTGTCACAGATTATTTAAAGTGTAGTTTCCATTCTGTAAATGAATGCTCAAGGCAAGACTTCCTCATTTTAAATTACTTTTACTCACCATCCTTTTGATTGAAACTGACAAAACTACTTGGGGAACTTTTCTCAAGACTTGCAGGAATTTGAACAAAATCATTTCACCAAGCATTCTCCTCCAGAACAATCTGAGTTACATTAACTTAGCCCTATTGCAAAGGAAACAAACATCTGTCTACAGCTGTTCACACATTTATGGTGACTCTTGGAAATATTCTAGTTTTGTGGATGCATAAGAACTCTAAGTGGACTGTATCGTAATTGCTTGATTTCCTTTTAGTTTGAGTATCTCTGAAAGAAACAGACACAGGAAAAATGAAGCTTTGAACCCATTGAATGGGCATCTTACTGATCCTGACATGTGCTATACTGTTCTTCCAGCTCTCAGACGGCTTTGCACATCTGGGCTAAGGTACTCTGTTCTCAAGGCATGTCAGTGTCACCAAGGAGGGCCAGAGAGGTGCCGGGGGATGAGGGTCCAGGTTCAGTTCTATCTACCTTCTACCGCCTGGTTGCCCTGAGACTACTTAACCTCTCCGAGTCCTAGTGTTAGAGGAATTCAAGAAAAATGTGAAATGAAAACCAGTAAACTAGCCTGCCTGGCACCAGTGGCTCACATCTGTAATCCTATCTATTCAGGAGGCTGAGATATGATGATAGTGGTTCAAAGCCATCCCGGGCAGGAAAGGCCATGAGACCTTTATCTCCAGTTAACCACTAGGAAAATGGAAGTGGCACTGTGGCTCAAAGTATTAGAGTGTTAGCCTTGAGCAAAAAAGCTCAGGGACAGCACCCAGGCCCTGAGTTCAAGCCTTACTACTGAAAAAAAAACCTATTAAAGTATCATACCACTACAAATTATTATTATTACTAAAGTATGCCAATGCAAATATTATTAATAATATTAGTTGTAGTAGTAGTATTGGGTGAATTTTCATAGACTGGAACACTAAAATGAAGTTCACCTAGAAATAAAGTCTCTAGAAAAATTTAAGGGCCTCTTTTTATGATAACTCACTTCATAGGAGACATAAAGTGATTGTATTCTTGAGAAATGCTAAATTTTGCAGGTGAGCCTGTAAATGCCTGCGTTTTCCTGCCTCTAGGAACCTATATGGAAAAACAAAAGCAAAAACACTTGACCCTCCACATTGTCACTTTGGAAAAATTCTGTAATTTGCAACTTCTCTCTGAAGCAATGAAAGGGTCCTTCGCTTGACTTTGGATCTAGGTATACTGTACCTGTAGGACTGCCCTGCCCATCTTTCCAAAACACCTGTTAGAAACCTGAAATCAGGTGTTATGCTTATATGCAGGCTCTAGAGTTGGAATCCACATGGTTTCCTGTTCTGATTCTTCAATTTATTGGATCTTGGGGAAATTATCTCAACTTCTCTGCCTCACATTCTTCCTATCTGAAAGGTGGGACTATTAAACACATCACATCATAGCCATTGGACTATTAAACACATCGCATCATAGCTACATGAGAAGCATGAGTTACACATAAGGACTCAATGCATATAAAGACTGCACAAGGTAAGTCTCAGTAAGCATGAGTGATGATCATTGTGCCCTGTGGCTTTATACTTCTGAACAATATGTCTCCAGGAAAACAAAGCCTTAGGAGCAAATAGATGGTGGGTTCCTATTTTTCTTGCAGAAACTCTGCTGTTTTCCCAAAGGCACCCAGACAAGGGACCAAATGACTATACAATGAGCTAGGTTGGCTCGTGGCTTAGGTGGGCGTATGGCTGGATAGTAGGTATATGTTACTTGTGGGCAGCCAGAGGCCATTGAGACTGAGAAATAAGAATAGTGACACAGCTGCTAGAGCAGCAACTTCCCAGGAAAACTAATCTGGAACACTGGAAGTAAAGCAAAAAGTACAAGAAGTTCAATTGGATGCTGGTGACTTTCAGCAGCAGATGAGCTGCCCTGCAAGGACACACCCAGGAACAGAGCTGTTCTGAGGGGTGGAACTCTGCTCACCCATCAAACTGTAGAAAACAGTTCCAAGTCCTTTATGAACCAAAAACAGATGTGTTAAAAAGAACTTAGACCACACACACACACACACACACACACACAAGCCTTCCATGTGCTACCTCTACACCAAAGTCAAAGTCAAGGTTTTGCCAAACTGTTTAGTTCAGAGTACATTCTGGAAGCAGCCAGTCTATTCGTGTGGACCTGCTCAGTGGATGTGAAAATCATGTGGTCACACAGGACCTCACACTTAAAAGGACCCCATGCTTGGTTGAATGGCCTGCTCTTGACATTTTAGGTTCTTAATCAGTTTGTTTTTAAATAAGGTACCACATTTTCATTTTGCACTGGGCCTCACAAACTGTATGGCCAGACCTGGTGAAGGATGTTAAGATTCCATTGCTGACTAGGCTTACTGCCTGTGAGATAATGGGCAAAACTGAACTTCTGTGAGCCTCAGTCTTCCCATAGGTAAAACATGGCTATAACAGTACGTACCTTGTGTGGTTACTGCTAGATTAAATGAGATTATACATGACACATAGTGTCTAGTATTTAATAAAGCACTCAGGAAGTGTTAGGAACAATGACTTCTATGCCCACAGCCACGGTTAAATAAACATCCAGTCAAAGTGCCGCAGAAACACAATGAGCTACCTTAGCACCTTGGTAAACACGTTAGTAGAGGCTGCCAAGCAAGTGATAAAGTCACCAGATACCATCTGAAACCTAAACCAGATACTTTCTCTGATGTAGGTAGAGCAAAGTGACTCAGTCAGAAAATGCTTCAAAGACTACATTCCAATTGCCATCCATAACTGTTAGAAAGAATGCAATCCGTTGCTGCCCTTCTGCTAGTCACAATTTGTAGAAAAGTATCTGAATACACAAATGTGCATCATTTCTCCAACTTATAAAGCCAGTTGCTAGAGATCCACTAGCAGAGTCAATCGTCAACAGGCAAAGGGATTTTACATCAGAATCAGTGATAGCTAAAGAGAAAGGATGCTGGGCACCCTTGACAAGGACTGAGCAGTCCTTCTGGGTTTCCTTCTGGTATGGCTACTGATTTGGAGAAGTGCCTGGTGTATTGCCTGTTGGTATCCATGCAGGATAGGTTCCAGGAGCTCGTGCAGATAGCAAAAATTCAAATTACTTACGTAAAATACTGTATTTGAGTATGAGCCTACACATTTCCCTCCATCCTCATCATCTCTAAATTACTTGTAACACTTTATGCGTGGCCATAAAATGAAATGCCAATCAAAACAACACCGAGTCCTATCTCACTCCAGTAAAAATAGCCATTATCAAGAATACAAATAGCCAATGCTGGTGAGGATGTGGGGGTGGAAGTGGAAAAAGGAATTCTATTACATTGTTGGTGGGAATGTAAAATAGTGCAACCATTACGGAAAGAACTTTGGATATTCCTCAAAAAAGAATGAAACATAAAACTATCAGAAATATCACTCTCAGGTATTTATCCAAAAGATTACAAGTCCAAATAAAGTAAATCCACTTAACACCCATGTTCATTGATGTACAAGTCACCATAGCCAAGTTAATACAAATAACTTGGCTGCTCTACAGTAGATGAATCAGGAAATCACACACACACACACAAACACACACACACACACAGAGAATAATGTATGTTTTATTCATTTATTCATTCATTCATTTGCAGGGAGGTGGATGGATCTGAAAAAAATGTCAAGTGAAATAAGTTAGGCTCAGAGAAACAAAGAATATAGGTTTTCTCTAATATGGGGAAGTTAGATCTAAATTAAAAACATCTATGAAAACATACAGATACATATACATTATACACAAACATCGTAACTAAAGTATGGTGTCTTCAGGGGAGTAACTCCTTTGAAAAACTAACTTACAGTTTAATAAAATGAAGACTAGGAAGCTGAAACATGTTTGTAGGAGAGGGGTTGTAACTCGAGGGGAGGGCAGAAGTATGGAGAGAAAAAAGATGGATGAATAAAGTCATTATAGCCAATGGACACACGTCAAAATGGAACCTTTCAAAAATAACTGATTGGATGAGTAGGGCTGAGATAGATGGAGATGTGGTAGAAAGGATAACATTGGCCAAGACACATTATATTTATAAATTGACATGTTGACAGTTTGTATAACGGCTTAAATAAAAAAAATGAACAACAAGGAAACTTTCATGCAATGTAAATGCTCTGCAAATAGTGGTTATACCATGTTGGTACGGAATAACAACATGGAAAAAAAAAAAACCTCTACATGATCAATACAGGTGTCTCTTATTTTTCTTTTAAGTACTCTTAATCCGCAGTTTGTGGAATCCTTGTACACAAATCCATGGATATGAACAGAAAGTGTATAAATACAAATCTCTGTATCTTTCATCATCAGAAAGGCTTTTTAAAAGAAGTGCTTTGATATTCTCAGATTAAAGGAACCTCTGATACTGAATAGTACTGCTGCTTTTCAATGAGGACTTTTCTATTTCTAAGATCTCTTCCCTTCACTTTCTAAATAATAAGCATAGTTTTTGCATCTGAAAAGTATATAACCTCATGCTGCTCGTGAGAGGTTTTTTTTAAGCAATCTGCCAAGTCCTTCAGGTCCATGCCCTTTAACAGAACAATCCCTTCCAAGGAAGCCTTTCCAAGGAAACAAGCAAAGATGAAAACTGTGCTTCCTGAACAAAGGTTTCCTTGTGGTGTCAACACTCTAACAAAAGTAGAAATAGCTTAAGCCTCTCACATGTGATCACAGTGGGAAAGGTAAAAGGGAAATATCAAGACATTGGGAGTGCTACCATTACTAATTGCATAAAGAAATATGGACAATATTGTGTTGCAAACTATTTAATTCAAGCAAGCAGGCTAGTATTTGTTTATTTCACAATTAATGAGAACGCAGCTCCTCACTATTCACGCTCTGCTTTCTTGACTCCTAAACAGTGGAAATTTCCCAGGAAGAACTGAAAGAATTAACAGTCCTTGATTTCTTCGTATTCTATTAAAGCCTTACAATGAATGAATTTACCACCAAGTAAGGAGAAAAGCAATTATTTCCTCACCTCCCTATTCTTACTTACTTTGCATTACAGTTTTCTTTGAAATTCTCTAACTGTATGACTTTATGAAGACACTCTCTACTCTGGGGTGAAAATTCAGCCATCCAACTGGTATTCTATTTACCACACATTATCTCTCAGTTTTTTTTTAAAAAAAAGGAAAAAGAGAACAGTATCATGTTTTCTAAATTGAATAAAACAATAACCTAACCACCAGTGCTAACTCTGTACCATGGGTTTTATTTTTGTCTGTTCTGTTTGCATGTTTATTTTGTAATAGTTTCCTGTGGGCATCCAGCATCTTTGTGATTTGGGACAAGGTCCCTATCCTGTGCATACGTGGTGTCACATCATCCAACCTCTTGCTAACGAGGGAGTAGCCTTCCAAACAGCCAGAACATGGGTATGTAAACCTGGAGGCGCATCTGACAGGATGTTCTGTTTAAACTCTAACTCTGGAACACATGGCCCAAGCATACAGGAGATGAGGAGATAGAAGCCACAGTGACCAGCAAGGTCCGACATTAGCATTGGGGTCAGGAGACAATTACAGACCCTCCTGAGCTCTTTCCCATGCATATATATATAGATAGATAGATAGATAGATAGATAGATAGATAGATAGATAGATACACACACATATACATATATATGTATATATATTTAGGGTTTTCTTTCCAGTTGTAGCTACATACACAAATATGAATTATTTAAATTTGAATCATATTGACTCTGGTAAACAAGAGATTTCCTATTTATTTCTTAGGATGTGATAGTAACTCCATCCAGAGCTCAGAA